AAGGTGAGAATAATTAGTTTAGTCAAATAAACATTAATTTCCACCGGGTTCTCTCAAAGAGGTGAAACAGCGCCCCTCTTGCTTCAAACCACAGACCAATGTAAAACTCCGTGTGGTCAATACGCGGTACTGCACCCCCACCTGTTGCGCCAGGTGTAATCGTGATTGCAGGAGAATCACTCCGGAGGAGGAAGAGGAGGAGGAGGAGGAGGAGGAGGAAGCTGTGGAATCCATCAAATGTAACGAAGGTGTGAATAAATTCCGTTTAAACTTAGTTTGTGAGCTAATGGCTAAGTGATGTCTTATAGGACTGTTTACGTCACAGGGAGGAGGACGCGAGCACTTCCGTCAACAAACAAACAAACACAGTGGCCGGAGGGGAAACATGGCGGACTCCTTGTCTCCATGAGAGGCAGCAGAGAGGACATGGACCTCTAATGTGAGTCAAACACCAACTTCTGTCTCTCTGTGCTCCTCTGGTTTGTTTCCACCTTGTTTGAATGTCCCGCTCTGGACTTGTGCTGCGTGTCTGTTTGCTGGTTTGACGCCATGACAGTCCTGGAGACTGAGTCCTGTTGGGTTTGCTGGTTGTTCCTTCACCATTTGTTCGTCTGGTTTTAGATTTTAGATTTTAAAAATGCAATGATAAGTTTCATGTGCTGGTTTTAGTGTTTCTGATTTGAAGTTTTTGGTGTTCTGAGTTTCACTAGAAGCTTTTTATGTATTGAAATGCACGTAAGTCGATTATCAGTGGGATTTGCATTGTTGACCTTTTTTGCTGTGAATTTAAAAGTGGTTTCCCTCATTTTAGGTAGCTCTTATTACATTGATGCTTGTTCAAGCTTTAATTTATAACATTTCCTCCTGATACCGATTCTTTTTTTTTTGTGCCAGTGTTGTAATCTGCAAACACTTGATTTCATTTCTGGACAGTGGGAGAAAGTGAAGGCGCATTGACCATCTTTAAATACAGTCTCTGTGAAATTCATAGTATTTGATTCATGCATCGAATATAAATCTGTATCCTTTATCTACTTCTACTTAATTAAAGAGTTGTTGGCCTCAGTCTGGCCGCGGTGGTTTTAAACGGACTGATAGAAAAGCAAATGGATGTGGCACATATAGACGGCATCGCACCGCTGACTGTCTCCACTAACAAGTGCAGGAACAAGCTAATCAGATTAGTGTGAATCCCCCTTCTCAAAGCTGAATGGAGTCCAAGTGCCAGAGGCAGAACGCTGACATTTCACTTTTTTTTTTTCTGCCATGAACTCATTTCCTTTCCCCCTCACCAATACCTACAGCACAAGTAGTGATTCAGATGTTGAATTGTACATTCGAGTGTTTGTGGACAGACGAGCAGTGTGTTCTTGCTCTGCATTGTCCTCCGCTCCTCTCCTCCCTCCACCCCGGATATCAAAGTCCTCATTTTTATTTTCTCTTTTTTCTATATTCAGCTCTTCCTCTGCTCTCACCCTCTGCGTTCTCTTCCTCCCTCACTGTTGTCTACCAATCAAGGTGATTGATTTTATGCCTCTTCTTATCGAGCGGAGCAGCCACTGTCAATAAATGTCGCCTGTCCTTGCTCACTCACACACACACACACACACACACACACACACACACACACACACACACACACACTGAAATGGGTGAGCTGTAGGATTCAGTCTTTTTGCTTTTCAAACTCGCAGTCGCATTGTTTCTTGTTGGTCAAATTATATTATTACAAATGCAGTGATAAGTTAGACTAGATATCTGTTGAGATCAAAATATTTAGAATAAAAAGAGAAATTGTCATTGACTTCATCAAGTTCGTTTTTTTAATTTCACAATCCCAGCTGGTTCCTATAGATCTGTGTGGGTTGGTCTGGTCTGATCTCTGTGGGATGGTCTGGTCTGATCTGTGTGGGTTGGTCTGGTCTGATCTGTGTGGGTTGGTCTGGTCTGATCTGATCTGTTGGTCTGTGTGGTTTACAAAAGTAAAAATTACACTAACTGTGTGTATACATATATATGTATATCTCGGATACATAGTATTGATTTAAGTGTAGTAAGTTCCCGCCCATACACGCAATCGACCAATCGCGGGTAACCAATTAAAACCAAACTGGATCTGCCACCAAGAAGATTGATTTGATCTTTAACAACACTTATTTTAGAGTCTCATTTCATATTTTAATGTACAATATCATAATGAAAAGTAACTTGAAACTGCAGCTATCTGATATGAGACAAAAAGTGTATATAAGTATATATTGACTTGAATTGTACACACTAATGTAAAAGTACTTGTGTATCTGTAGTATGTATGCCAAGTATTTTCATGGATTGATTTGTTTCATATAAAGAAAAAGTGTATAGAGAGATATTCACACGTGACCCAGACTTTGTCTTCTTCTCTATTCTATGATATTCAGTTTTAGTTCTCAT